AACAATCGTATCACAACTAAATATTCTTTTAACATAACCAAGTAGAACAGTGATGAGCAGAAAAACCAATGGAATGTGTCCTTGCAAATGGCACTGCTGAAAAGGACATGACGATGAGCGTCCATTAACCATAACGTTGATGTACCAATCGAGCTAACTCAATCGAGCGTTTAAACAACAGTCGAGAAATAAAAATATAGGAAGAGTAAAGAATAGCCACTAAGCTAGTTCACAAAAAATGAATGTCTAATATCTTTTCTCCTAATATTGCCAAAATCATAGGACGCAAATTTTCATCCCGTCCTGACACTAAAATCCGGTGCAGACTACTCCAGCTTAAACAGAACAAAGCCCAGCTTTCTCACGAAGAAACGTGAAGCGGATTGGCTGAAAAGACAGGTGCAGACCAATCGCGCGCGATAGCTAGACAGACGAGGGTATCGTCGCGTCCAAGCGCGACTCATGGAGTACAGCACAGAAACGAGTAGGACATATGGACCAATGAAAAGAAACAGGCGAGGGGAGACACAAAAATGGATACTGACCTACGTGAAACCTTAGAAACTAAATAGTGTTCCACATTTGTGTCCAGTATAAGTAAGGTTTTATTTTACAAGTAGCGTATTTTGATCTTTTGCTTTGGACCCTCAGACGGTTACTCGGCGGTTCCTAACGAACAAAACATTTTTGCAACGCGAAGCCTTAGAGCGACTTCGAAAACCTCATATGAGATGACCGTGGCTGACTGAACCAAATAGATGAAATATTCAGATAAGTTGCCACTTCGGCTTCTTGAGGCCGGTATTCAATCAATCCACATAAATAATCCTCCCATCTACATTTAAGGTGCGACTGCATGTGCAGGCCACGCGGCTTTGTTAATAAGACTATCTCGCTGCTCGTGTGGCTTCACAACAAAAACCAACGGATAGCATCATCTACCTGTTCCATCTCTTCTATTCACTTAGAAAGAAGGTGGGAGCAGCATATAGGGGATGGTAAAGGCATCCACAAAATCAAATGAACGGCTGCTACCAAAGTCTGAAACCCATTAACGACACAAAATTGCATGGTCACCAGCTGGTTGGTCATTTGGTAAGCCGACTGAAATGTCACCGTAAGTTATTTCTCCCTGTATGTCGATCGTGGTACACACTTTCCAGTTTGCTCCTATCGCACCGATTTTATTCACGACTGAAAATCGGCGATACTGAGTTAGTCCAATTCACTATTAATGTAGCATTGGCACATGGTTGTTGATTTAACGCGCATTAACGATGTGCCTATCTTTGCTCTACCAATGTTTCTACAGGTCTGCACACATCAGTACTCTAGTAAACATTATGCAGACTGCACTAATATGTGCTTTAATCTGTTGACAACCAATTTTTTGCTTGGTCCATAGTCATTATTGCTATATTAAGAGTTCTGTCAAGCACCATCTTTTTCCTCACCATGTAGCTTCTCCACTGTCTTGAGTTTAAGTCCTAAGTGGACTGAGCTCCGACAATAGAAATGTTTCTGCCTTTGGTGTGAAGCGTCCGTGGAAATCCAAGCGTATTGGTAATTGACAACCCATGACTCGTTTCCTACCTGCTCTACTTGAGTGGTTCAATTCTCCCCTTTATCCGTTTTTATCCACAGTTTGTCTGATGAATTGATGTCCTGCATTTATGGGCGTGATCTTGTCTTTTTCTATATCTGGTGAAGAGTCCCACTTATTGGTTTTCCCAGTAAGCAGCCAGCATTTCATGTCGCCGTGATGACCTGCTGGACAGCAATAGTTTAATTTGACTTGCACAGAACACTTCATAGCAAGTGAGATGTCATTCTTTCGATAGGGTTTATAAACAGCTTTAGAATGTACTTGCTGTTTGATATTTCGACTTGAAATGAAAGATTCCTAAGGCACTATTCACCATGGACAATAAAATTCTGCCTAAACTATGGCTTAGATAAATGTGGATTCACCAGAATGAAATAATGCTTTCTATCTTAACGGTTTTATCTGAAGATTGAGTCGGCAGCTTAGAACTCAGCTGCTCTAGTAGACATGACAGAAACATTGGAATGCAGGTATTAAACTGGTACATTTTTGCTTTACAGCTACTAAAATCCACAAATTTCTGGACAGTAGTTTTATCATCCGAGAGCATAGTGTGATATGTTAAGTTTTTGGTAACTCATTGCTTCCAGCTATATCACAGCTGGTAGTTATAGATATCCGCTACCGCCACCCATGACCCAGTGATCAGAAGCAATGTCTTGCAAGAGGAAAGTAGCGAGTTCGAGTCCATCAGGGTCCGGTACGTTCGCTCTGCTGGTGAGCTCCAGTAAGAGAAATCAGCCACCTAGTGTATTTCCAGGTGCGTAGCAGTTGTGTGCTTGAGTTTAGCTGTGATGAACCTTATCGAAAACCGTCTCAACATTCCGTAAACTAGTCCACAGCACCCAGCCGTCTGTGGCAGCGCGTACGCGCTGGCCTTACCACGACCGCACTTCGTAGCTTGTGATTGGATGCCTGTCCGTTCGCGATCAATACCAGGGTTGTTTTGAATGTACTGAGTGTATGTACAGTTGGCGTGAATAGAAGTTTGTGTTGCGTACCAGTAGAGTTTTACTTCCTCGTTCGGGGCTTTGGTCATGCTTGTTCAAGGCCCTGCGTGCGTGTAGATACAACAGTGGCGTCGCGGGCTGTGGACCATTACAATGGAATTTCACCTTCCACCTCCAGAAGCCTTTTGGTGCGATCCTGCTACTAGACCTACGGAGAGTGATTGGATCCAATGGAGAACGTCTTTCACGAATTACTTGGACCTACTCACAGCAACTACTACTTACGATGAGAAGCAAAAACTGAAACTACTTCGTCACCTGTTGGGCAATGAAGGTCAACGTTATTTCGATGCGTTAGATCTGCAAAAATTCGATACACTTACAAAGGCATTGGATGTACTCGATCAGTCATGAGGTGCACGGCCAAACATTTTCGCTGAACGCTACAAGTTCTTCTGTTTGAGGCAAGAAGATGCAGAGCCACTGGAACAATTTGTGGCTCGTTTCATTCGGTCTGTAAAAACCTGTGACTACATTAGCATTCCGAAGAATAAACTTGAGAGTGTTATGCTGACGCAGCAGTTGATAACCGGTATAACGGATAATCGGATACGCGAAAAGCTACTTTCCGAAGATCCATCAAAACGTACCTGGGAGAGAGCCATAGAGATCGCAAGACTAATAAAATCCGCCGTTGAACATTCGAGCCTATTCAAGTCGAGTGATATACTAGAAGTCAGTAAGATTCAACACAAGGATTCCAGTCAACCTCAGAATCCGACTGTTTCGTGCTATAGATGTGGGAGTTCTCGCCACAAAGCTGACTGTCAAACATGTCCGGCTCGTACAGCTGAGTGTAAAAGCTGTGGTAAACTGGGCCACTTCGCCAGATGCTGCCGCTCGCGTCGACTCGCGTTAATTGACCAACAAAATGATGTTTCCACCTCACCGACTACACCGAATGTTTTTTCCATCAGAAGACGATTACAACCAGAAACACGACGAATTGCTTCGCTGGAACCCAAGCTCCCTGCTCCTGACATACGTACCGTTACACTCCATGGGCTTAACACTTCTGTACCAGTGAGTATGGAGCTAGACTCGGCATGGCCGATAACAATTATCCCGTCCAGCATTTACGACAATTACCTGCAAGACATTCCATTACACCCTACGTCGTATAAATTCGAATCGTACACAAATTCACGTGTGCAAATTCGGGGATATATAATGACGAAACTCAGTTTACTCTCAGTTGCATCTGATGTTGCTGTGTATGTTGCCTCCGAAGACAGTCCAGCCTTGCTGGGGCGAAATGCTATGGTTGCCCTCAACATAACACCATCTATCGAGCGAATGCGCATCATGACACTCAAAACTTCAGTACTTAAAAGCTTATATCCCAAATTATTTACTGAGTCGATTGGCCGGATTCCATCTGCTGCTCATCGAATATGCCTTAAAAAGGACGCTATACCGTTTTCGATTTCGCAGCCACGTCCTATTCCATTGGCCAAACGTACGATGGTAGAAAAGGCCATACAAGAGATGATTTCCAACGATTTGATAGAGCCAGTTAACTGTTCCGAATGGGTGCATCCCATGGTCACGGTGTTAAAGAAGGACGATACTGTGCGCATATGCAAAGACTTGAAAGCGTTGAACAGTCAGATCGTCGCCGGGGTTATCAGTCATCCTACGAAAAACGGGCCACATCGCTGCGTCCTGGAACGTTGGTCAGGATAAAGGAGAGGCAAACACGGAAAGGAGAACCGGCACTGACGAGACCCATCAGAATTACTCGTGCGCTACGGTCAGGAACTTATGAGTTAGCAGACGGCTGACGAGTCAACGCCAGACAGCTATATTCAGCACTTCAACCGAAGCAGTGTCCTGAAGCGAGGGCCACCGCAGTGAACCAACCGCTGAAGAGGGGGAGTAGTGTGGCAGCGCGTACGCGCGGGCCTTACCACGACCGCACTTCGTAGCTTGTGATTGGATGCCTGTCCGTTCGCGATCAATACCAGGGTTGTTTTGAATGTACTGAGTGTATGTACAGTTGGCGTGAATAGAAGTTTGTGTTGCGTACCAGTAGAGTTCTGCTTCCTCGTTCGGGGCTTTGGTCGTGCTTGTTCAAGACCCTGCGTGCAGGGGACTAGTGTACGTGTAGATACAACACCGTCGGTTTTGTCAAACAAGTGTACTTGAACCTGTCCTCTTTCGAGACAATGTCTGAATATAGTTATTTCATTCCAGGTGAAATGTATACGGCTGATGATTTCTGAAAGGATGGAACGACCTTACTGTGCTTTCTAAGCGTGTGGTTGCTGTCTGAACGAGTCTACATGTAATGAATTTCTATCAATACCATTCTGGTCTGCCCCAGCTGTTGTGTTTCGCTTTTCAGAGATTGATCGAGCAAAACTGTTCCGTTACCAGCTCACCTTGTCAATAAATGTTGACCTGTATCTTTCAGGCTGTTCCAGGTATTCAGAGTAGACAAAAGGTTTACAGTCCAAGTGTTCCATGTAATCCGCGACGGTGACCACACAAGCGTATATGACATTCTTATCTGTGGTGAGGAAAATAGAGGCATGAGAGAGTTAACGAATTTTGTTTTTAAGAAATCTAGCATATTAGATGCAGTTTGTATACAAAAACCGAATCACTTATATTCCTATCCAACAAAGAGCATATTGTAAGAATCAGGGCTTATACTTACAACAGCATTTGTAAAACGCATTTGCGACCACCAAAGTCTCACTCCTCTCAAATGTCTATTTCTACGTTGGTCAGTCTCACTGTTCGCCATGGATCGTTTGTGTACCTGTTCCATTATTCATTTTCTGTTCCAATGCTACCTATCATGTCTCCTTTACTATGTGACTTAGTGTCGGATTCCCAGTTCATCCACGTCCTACCTCTTTTCACTCATCTGCACAAGTACCCATATTGAAATGGACTGTTTCCATTGATTTGATCGATTTGTGTGACGCTCACACTTTTGTACAGCTAGGTCTGCCAGACTTTGGCGTTGCACGTTTCCATTGGCGGACGCATACCCCTCTCATAATTTTGCTCATTTGAATTCTGACCATAAGCCCTTGTCTCACCTTAATTCCATAGTTTCTTTCGCACGACTGAACTCACGAGTGACTCGTTGACCTGGGCGCTAATTGTCGACATATTTTGAGTTTGGTAATCCTTAAGGTAATGTCTATTTTTTTAACATGAATTTATACAAATAATACTGTTATTTCAGGTTCCTGCTTGGTCTTTTGTTGCATATTCGGATGGGATACGTGTGGCTTAAACTTCTGAACGCTTTGTAGCGTTACAGTATTTACTGTGCAATGAGGGTACGGTTTCTCTACATTGATCAGTAAGGCTCGCCATCCGCGCCCAATCAGTCATCTGCCCTGAAGTTCAGAAAAGTTAAGGCCAGAGTCAAAAAACACTATTGCCAAAGGGTCAGATTGAAACACGCCGGAAAGGAATAGATCAACTGACTAGTGTTGAAATATAACCAACAATCATGATCGGTCGAGCGAAAACTAGAGCAACCTGTTTCAGTTTAGTACAATTCATGTCGGGTTCAAATCTTTGGCTTCTACCAGACTTCAGCTACCGTATACTCACCAGTTCTTGTTCTTCATTACTGGGTGCTGTCCCACTCTGGCAGACTGACACAGAAGATTTGGCGACGAAAGCCGACAGAACATACTGTGACAACAATGATACAAACAAACCTAAATAAAAGATACTGTTTTGGCTTGACATCACGCTTGCTTGCTTTACAGATATTACCTCCTCTCACCTGGAAGCTGTAATTTTGACCCAAATCGAACAAGGACAACTGGAAGCGTTGGTGCGTGGGACGTTGGTGCTGAAAGTGCTAGCGTCATTGAGTGTTTCGTAGTGATTCCAATTTGGTAGAGTCTATATAGGTAAATGATTGATCACGGCATCTGTGCCATCAAACATTCCGGTTTCTTCTTCATCGATGCTCAATTCATTCCATGTGTAATAATAGCAGTCTATCCTCATTGTACCGGAACTGTTGTAGGATTGCTACCAATTGATGCTAATATATGCTGACGCGTCAGACTGTTCAGCAGCCGCAACGGATTAGTAGTAGGTAAGCATGGCTCGTAAATCGGTATCGAATTGAGCAAACAGCTGATTGTTCACACCAGCAAACGATGTTCACCTGAGCAGATACTTGGTCACGCGAGCAGGTAAGGCGATCAAGCGGCCAAATATGCTGCACAACTTTAAGCAAACCAGCCAAAACAGCGAATTCGAATAGCATTGCAGATACACCGATAAATGGAACGCGGATAATTAACTATAAATGTAGCCGCGTATTTTACTTGAAATCACCTTTAGGATTCGGCTTGTGCAGCAGAAGGCGCAGATGACCAACGTTACAATGTAAACCAACTCGATTGATGGCTAAACCAAGTCCTCTTGCTGGAGGTATTTATTTGTTGTAAAAATGGAGGTAATAATACTCCGCGTAAGATAGACGAAGAGTGTTGTCTTTTCCAATCGATGTCTTGCATCCGTCGACGCGCATATTTCCACTTCACAAGCAGACAGCAAAACCGGCAATAGAGCTCAGGCGTAGAAAGTATCGGTCAATGTCAATACCAGCACAACACTAGGCTCCTTGAGGGAAGCTTGTCGCAACGGTTACTGACTCATTGTTGATCTGGAGTAGCCGTTGTCTGGGAAGTGTAATCCCAAGTCCTATTCGGACCAAGAACTGGTTTGAAGAAAACTTAGATCGACATCTTGTAAAATGCCTAGAATCTATGGAGAACTCATGATTTCAGGAGGGTTTGAAAACAGTCTGTTGGTAAAGTTTGTGAGCAATGTTTTACTTTTGAAATGGAAGCTTAATCAGTCCGAGAGAATCGGTAGATGACTGGTGTAGCATCCAGAAAATTAGTAGCAAAGACTGCGCACACGTATACATAGGCTAACATTATGTGTCGCGATACAAAATGTATGATAATAAAATTTACATGATAAAGAATTCAAAAAGCAGGTATTATAAGGTTAACTAGTATCGTATGCATCTCGGAGGAGACTGTAATTAGAGGCGGAATTTGAAAGGGAAAGGATGGACAAAAGAACTCACAATACAAACGCCATTAGGGGTGGCTTTTTGCCATATCAACCAGTGTGTCCAACCAAACATGTTCATCGTCTTTGGGACCCCCACCAGGCATTCGGGATGCACCAAGCGATGCCAAATTTGAAGTGAGGGTTTTCATTTCTTTTGACGAAGTCATCGCTTGACTTCACTTCCTGCTCTTCCAACCGCACCTCCGACGCGCAAATTATGCACGACGCTGTGGTCGGTGTACTGGTATGCCCAACACATGACCCAGCTATCAGAGCCTGGTGCAGGTCATAACGGTGCCGAGCGGTTCACTCACTCTTCCTGCACCAAATACGCGACGCCAAACGCGCTCATTACTCACGCGGTGCCTCCACCTAGCATGAGCTAAGCTGCGAAGGCATCGGTGGTCGAAGATGATTAGCCTATTTGTGTCTGTCGACCTGATGGTCAGGTTTCACAACAGTATATGTTGAACAGACGGCTGCATTATAAACTCCGTATTTTACGGCGAGAGTGATTTCGCGTCGGCGCCATAAGTGTTGAAATTTGGCACATGCGTGTCGGGCTTATGTAATACGGTTCAGAATCTCATCTTCGATTCCACACACGCAAAAATATCTCCCGAGGTACTTCAATTCCTGAAGGACTTCTAGCTAATCACCACCAAGGGTCAGCGCACGAGTAAGATCCTTCCAATCATGGAGAAGAACTTTGCACTTAGATGGAGCAAAACAGAGCCCAACTCCATTGACAGTCAGTGCTAATCGGTTAAGCTTAGTTTGGTGCGTTTGGGAGCTATCACATAGGAGGGTAATGTCATCCCCATACTCTAGATCAAGAAGTCGCTAACCAGGGAGTTGCTGCACACCTTGCAGTTTGCGTCTAGTAAACGCAGCTTCTGTGATTTCGGCAATGAGGATTTTGAATAGGAAAGGTGGCAGAGGGCATCCTTATCTTACATCGCTGGAGTTATTGAAGGGCGGCGATAGTTTACCATAAACCTTCAAACTGCCCGAATTATGCGTGTACAGAGTTCTGATGATTTGTACGTATATTTCGGGTACACCTTTCCTGAGCATACAGTCCCAAAGCGCACATCCATCCAGCGTATCGAAGGCACCTTTCATCTTGACAAACACGACAACAGTGGTTGGCCATTAAACATGACGGAGCTCCAACATTTGGCGTAAAATGAAGATGTGGTCAATGCAGCCCCGTCCTCCAAGAAACCCGGCTTCCTGCATACGAATATGGCTTTCAATAGTGCCAGTCAGTCTCTGGAGAACACCAGATGCAAGTACTTTAGGGGCAATGGATATCAAACTAACCCATCCGTGCCTCCCTTAAAATATGTGACTATGAAGGAGCGGCTCCAGCCTGTTAGGACAGTTTCCTGCACCAACAGTTTCATTATTAACACGTATAAATCATCTACAATAGCAAGTTCCCTTGAATTTGAAGATGGCTTCATGAATGCTATCCAACCTAACAACCTGATACCATTTTTAACTGGCTTCGACTTCGGCGCGTGAGTGCGCATCAAATGAGATGGCCCAGGGAGAAGGGCACACAATGCGTGAAAAAGGAAGCGATAACTCCTATTGTTTAAACTGCTTTACAATTTGTTCGGCCAAACGCTCCAAGCTTTTAGACAAGCTCTGGACTGGCTGTCCAATCTCGTAGCATATCGTTCCGCTAACACTAGGTCTCCAGTTGCCTGCTCCCCCTAGCAGACGGAATAATTTATGATGATTACCAACGGCAGCTATTGTTCCCGTTTTCGAAGCACGATGAGACCACCAAGCTTCATTGTCTCTCCTTAGACTGGCACGCAAATTTAGCCTGAGATGTTTGCAAAATTCATTGTATTCGCTTCTAGCCGGGATAGGTCAGCGTGCTTCAAAAATTCCGGATACAGCATAAGAACCAAATGTCCAGGTTCGGCAATTTGATTTGCCACTTGAAGACGTGCCTGCTACTAGCAATATTTGATGCTTATGCGACCAGGGATCTTCAGTGGTGTTCAGGCGGCGCTTACTCAACCCGGATGCCAGCGTACTTTGATACGCAATCAGGACACCTAACTTCGCCAGTTGGCTTGTCTCTATGCGGTCACAGCGATGTTGCGGACGTCCGCTGAAGGGCACCCGGCGTTCGGCACACTAAAAAGCGTGATCGGAATCCAAGCTCGTGCCCCAAATGGAATGACAATTTTGGACGCAGCCTCTTCAGTCAATCAATCAACAACAGCAGTACATCAGCCGTTTGAACTGATGCTTCGCTGCCATACAACCATGATGACATATGAAATAAAGAATAATAAGAGCGAGAGAAGATGGACTTTCCTGAAAACCTTATTGCCCTAAGCCGCTAATCGATTCTCTCCATGTAGCCGGGACACTGTCTTCCTTCCAGATGATTTCGAATATGGAGGTCAGTCA